TCCCAGGTCAAGGAGAAAATATTACAAGCTGCCAGAAGGAAACAATTCAAGTACTGTGGAAACACAATCAGGATAACACAAGATTTAGCAGCTTCTACATTAAAGGACCACAGGGCATGGAATATAATATTCCGGAGGGCAAAGGAGATAGGATTACAACCAAGAATCACCTACCCAGCAAAACTGAGTATAATCCTTCAGGGGAAAAAATGGTCATTCAGTGAAATAGAGGACTTTCAAGTATTCTTGATGAAAAGACCAGAGCTGAATAGAAAATTTGACTTTCAAATACAGGACCCCAAGTGGAACATGAAGAGGTAAACAGGAAAGAGAAATCATAAGAGACTTATTAAAGATGATATTTATAACTCATGAGACCTTTGTCAGTATTAGGGTAGTTGGAGGAAAAAAATTATATGTATGTATAAATAGATAGATAGATAGATAGATAGATAGATAGATAGATAGATAGATAGATAGATAGAGGGCACAGGGTGAGTTGAAGATTAAGGGGTCATATCTGGAGAATAAAATTAAGGGGATGAGAGAGATTATACTCAGAGAAGAAGAAAGGGAGAGGTAGAATGGGGTAAATTATCTCACAAAAAAAAAAACAGAAAAGAAAAGTCTTGTTGGAGGGAATCAGCTGAGAGGGAACAGGGGGGGGGAGGGAATGAGTGAATCTTATTCTCATAGGATTTGGCTTAAGGAGGGAATAACATACACATTCAATTGGGTATGGAAATCTGTCTTACCCTACAGGAAAATAGGGGGAGAAGGGACAAGAGAGCAGGGGATGATAGAGAGGAGGCAGATTGGGAAAGGGGTAATCAGAAGAAATACTTCTGAGGAGGGACAGGGTCAAAAGAAAGAATAGAATAAATGGGAGGGCAGGATAGGATTAAGGGAAATAGAGTTAGTTTTTCACAATATATCTACTATGGAAGTGTTTTGCATAATGGCACATGTATAACTCTTATTGAGTTGCTTGCCTTTTCAATGAGGGTGAGTGGGGAGGGAGAAAGAGAGAAAATTTGAAACCTAAAGTTTTAAAAGCATGTTTAAAAAAATGTTTTCACATGGTACTGGGAAATAAGAAATACAGGAAATGGGGTACAGAAGTCTGTCCTGCCCTACAGGAAAATAGAAGGGGAAGGGGATAAGAGAAGGGGGGAGAGATAGAAGAGAGGACAGACTAGGGGAAGGGATATTCAGAATGCATGCCATCTTGGGGTGGGGGGAGGGGTGAGATGGGGTGAAAATTTGGAATTCAAAATCTTGTGGAGGTGAATGTTGAAAACTAAAAATAAATAAATTTATATTTAAAAAAAGGGAAAAAAAGGATTCTTTTAGTTTCCATATTGTAAAATGAAATGTTTAAGGCAAAGTCGTACTTTAGCAGCAAGGCTGATAAAAATATTTGTTTACAGGTCACTTAATTTTTCATCAATCTAGTAATCTCTTAAGTCTAAAATAAGTCAGAAAAAATATTTTTATTTTTTCTGACAACTTTCAATGACAAACAGAGCCAGATCAGATACTAAATAGTTTCCATTGCTAACTTTTGCCAAGAATGCTAAATCTTACTGTAAAGTTAAGGAAAAAAATCCAACTGAAAATAATTTAATTGCAAATATTTTTGGATTTGGCTGTCTAAGCATTTGTGAAAGGGCAAAACAACCTTAAATACTGTTTCTAATTGAATACTGTACTTGCAGGGTGTAATTTACTATCATACATCTATTTCCCAGTGCTTAATTTCTCTCTTTCCTCCTCCTCCTCCCCCTCCCCCTCCTCCTCCTCCTCTTCCTCCTTCTTCATCTTCCTCACACTCATTTATTCTACACTACGCATTTTGCTATATATGGTCAGATGCTATCATCTTCCTATGTATATATCTGTCTCCCAAACTGGACATGTCAATTTCTAGAAGGTAGAGATTTCTTTTGCTTTGATCTATGTAAAATAGCACTGAATAAATACACACTCAATATATATTATTTTAAAATGATCAGTTACATTTTTGGTACCACTTGGGTGACACAACTAATTTTTTGTTATACAACCATTGAAAGTTCGTTGAGATTTTTAAATCTTTCAACTATCTATTATAACTGTTTTATTGTTTTCTATGAACCAAACAATAAACTTGATGCTCTTAAAAACAGGGGAAATCTAGGTTCTTCTGGTGGTTGAATTATAAACTACTATTCTTTTGTGTGTGTGTGTGTGAAATGTGAAGTTTATTATATCTTCAAACTATTCTTATGCACTCTTCTTCCACCAAGTCCCAGAGCTGACCACCAGGGAACCAACACTGTTCTACTTCCCTCTGTGCTGCTAATTTGTCTCCTTCAAAGTCAGTTGGCTTCTTCCTCTTTGACTTCTCAAACTCCTGGGTCTCCCAAGTATAGATGAGGTAATGTGGGGAGGTGACCCACAGAAGGGAGTCCTGCATACTGCAGACCATATTTGGGATGCCCTTTGTGAAGTAGTTGGGGAAAGCTCTCTGCTATAATGGGGACAGGCTGTAGAAAATGACGTGCCTTACTCAGATTAGATTCCTGAACTCCCAGCCCATCTTTGTGGCACTTTCTGACCTGACATCAGTACATTTCACCCTCCACAGAATTCTTCAGGATTGCTCAAGACCCCTCCATAATCTGGCCCCAACTTCCATTTTCACCACTATTCTCCTTCATGAACCCCTTTACTGCCCCAGACAAACTGAACTATTCTCTCCCCTTGAAGGCATACTATGTTTTCCTGTTTATAGGCCTTTTCCTATGGCATACCCTTTCTCTGAAACCTGCTTCCTCTCACTCTGGAATCTCCACTTATTGAAATACTACCTGTCAGGGTAGGAACCAGCCCAGGTAGGAAATAGAACACATCAAAAACCTTTACTGATCAGAATAGGATTGGGTCAATGAGACCAGACTTGTACTTCCAACCTGGACGAGATAAGAAGACTTAGTTTAAAAAAAAAAGATTCTACTTACCTTTGAGGTACAGTAATAACTCAAATTTTAATTCCATTTGTTTCATTAACTTAATTTAAGTTTTTTAAATTTTCATTTCTCTGGGAAGCAGGCAATAAAAGTCTTAGGTCAATACATCAAGTATTCATGATTCATTTAATGTAATAATTTCAACACCAAATAAGAATTTGACAACCATCTATGACTTGGTAAATAAGACTAGATGACCTCAAGTCCATTTAAGCTCTTAAATGATGATTCTATGCCAGAGGCAGAGAACCTGCAGCCTCGAGGCCACAAGTGGCCCTCTAGGTCCTCAAGTGTAGCCCTGTCAAAGGGCCACACTTGAGGACCTAGAGGGGCACATGTGGCCTTGAGGCCGCAGATTCCCCACCCCTGTTCGATGGTCTTAGAGAGCTGAAGTTCAGCTGAATTGCCCACAGTTCTACAGCAGCTATGTGTCAAAGATGGCATTTGAACCCAAGTTCTCTTGACTCTAAAATCCGTATTCACTGTAACACACCACCCCATGATACCATTACCTCTACAAAGCCTTCCTTCCCCGATCTTCCCTGCCAAAATAATCTCTTCCTCCTCTAAATTATCTTAGTATTGTCTTCATACTTCTCTTATGGCAAGTCTTTCATTCTTTTTGTTGTTATAATTCTTGTCTCTCATTTATCTTGCATATATCTTCTTGTTTGCATGTTGTCTCCCTCATTGGACTATGAGCTCCATGAGGGCAGGTATTGTAATTTGCCTTTCATTGTAACACCAGCATAGTGACTAGCACATTGTTGCTGTTAGCAGGTGCTTAATAAATGTTTATTGATTGACTATCTTGATTTCCTATACAATATTCCTATCAGCAGATATTTTAAAAAGTTTAGAAGAGAAACATAATTTTAATATTTTTTTCTCTACCTGTTTTTCAAACTACAGGGTTCTCCTTGTGCTTCTTGTTTCCTCTCCATTTTGCCATTTTTTTGCTGCTTGTTGGGCAGATGAGTAAGCAAAGAGAAAGGAACTAGAGTCTGAGCTTTCTTTACTGACTGGGCAGCTCTAGTAGCTACAACATTGTCCCTATGAGGCTGAGGTTGTGAGTTTGATCTCCCTAAGTGGCAGCTGACTTTGCAGAGAAGAAAGTACAAGAAGATTGTACATACTGGAATAGACAGATTGAAACTTGGTGTAAGGAAATAGTCGAGGGAGAGACAATGACCATAACACTGTCAGAGTTTTTTATTATACGCGAACCCTTGCTCATAGGGGAGGGAAGACAAAAAGAGTCAGGATGACTCAGGAAATTCCTACAAACCTAGAAAAATAAACTCAAAGTATATGTCACTCATTCACTGGATAGCACTTATTATTGTTGTTGCTGTTGTTATTAACTGCTCTGGTTTAAAAAAAAAAGTTTGGCAGGAAACAAAGCTGAACCAATTGAGTAAAATGAGTTTAGATTCATTTATTTATTTTACCCTCTATCTCCCATCACCTCATTAATCCTAAATTGCCTATATTCTCACTTTTTTTCACATTCTCTGAGAGTTTGTATACTTATTACTAAAACTCATGGTTTTTTCCTCTTACTCCCTTCCATTCGAGTTGATTAGTTGTTTCTGTTGAAGTGATGAGTCAGTAGAAACAGCTCCATAAAATGTTTTCTCTTTCCTTCTCTAAGAAGTATTTGTTCTGGGGATTAAAAGTACTTTGAAAAAACAAATTGCATTTCACCTCTCTCAAATAGAGGTATTCTACACATTAGCGTATGTGCACATGATAACAAAATTACCAAACTTGTCTGTTTTTCAGATTGCTGAAATAAATGGATTTTGTTGCTGATACCTAATAGCCAAGTTGTTCCATCAGGCCATTTCCAATTGTGCTCAGAACAAACTCTAAACTCATGGGTTTCAGCTTGTCTTATTTTCTAAACAAGTAATTTCAGGAAATTGAATGCACCTTTTGAATATAATAGTTTAGATGAAACCGAGAACGGAACAAAAACATACTCACCAATGCACACATTGCCAGACAGTGTGTAAATGAAGGCTGTCCATCCTGAAATGGAGCCAACAGTACCGAAAGGTTAGTTATATAATTTCGAAGGAAATAAGCTAAGAATGAAGAAAAAACACTCAGATAAGATGTTTCATTTCCTCTTAGAGATATAGTTCAAAGGGTGGCAGATGCTCCAAGTTAAAAATTTTTTTTTAAAAAAACACTAGAAACTTAATTTTGAACCAAATGAGAAAATAGCCACACAACCTGTTATATTTAAATTGTTACTTGGACCATATATTTGCACATCAAAATCTGAAGTATAAATAACAACCTCCTTTCTTCTAAAATACAGTAGGTTCCATTGTACTGACTACATTCTCCTGTAATAGTTTTAGTCTTTCTTTTTAAGCCTCTTAAAACAGTTAATGCTTAGACTCCTAAAGTGTTAGTGAAACCAGAACAAAAATAAGTGTTTTTTCTCTGTCTTAAACTACTTTAAGTTTTGAAGTTTCCATGATGGAATCATGAATTACCTCTCATTCACTCTTAAGGCTATCTGCTACTAACTTTCACTTCTTCTTCCCCCTCCAAGATCTTGTGTTTAGATTGTTGATAGTTATAAAAGTACTCAAGGTCTTTCCAGAGAGCAAGGACTGGGTTGTTTTGGGTTTTTTTTTTTTTTTGGTCTGTATCCTTTGAACCTAGATCAGTGCCTAGGACACAGTAGGCACTTAGATGTTGTTTCATCATTTTTCAGACATGTCCTACTCTTTGTCCCATCTGGGGCTTCCTTGTCAGAGATACTGGAGTGGTTTTCCATTTCCTTCTGCAGCTCATTTTATAGGTGAGGAAACTGAGGCAAACAGGGCTAAGTAACTTGCCCAAGGTCACACAGCTAGTAAGTGTCTGACCAAATTTGAACTCACAAAAATGAGTCTTCCAGGCCTGGCATTCTATCCACTGTGCCACCTAGCTGCCTCAGGTACTTAGATATTTGAATAATTAATTCATAGGATTATAAAGTTAGAGACAGAAGAGGCCTTAGAAGTCATCAAATCCAACTTTCTCATTTTACAAATAAGAAAATTCAGGTGCAGACATTAAATAACATTTGAACCCAGGTCTTCTTGATTCAAAAATAACACTATGAATGGGCATATTTGTTCTTGTAATAGGATGATAGGATGTGTTAGTCAAATCAAGAAGTATTTAATAAATACTTACTATGAACCAGGAAAAATAAAAATATTACTATAACACACTGCCTCATGATACCATTACCTCTATAAAGCCTTCCTTCCTTGATCTTCCCAGCCAAAATGATCTCTTCCTCCTCTAAATTATCTTAGCACAAAAAGAATAGAGAAAGAGAAAAAGTGCCCCTGCCCTCAGGGAGCTCACATTCTAGAGGGAGAGGTAACATGTAAATAAATAGAAATACGCAGAGATGGAAAGAAATCTCAGAGCAGAAAGCACTGGCAGCTAGGGGAGCGAAGAAGGACCTTCTACAGAAGGTGGAGTTTGAGCTAAATATTGAAGGAAGCCAGAAATTTAAGAGGTGGAAGTGAGTAAGGAGAATATTGCATGCATGGTAGACAGCCAGTTCAAAGACAGGGAGATGGCAGATGTATCACAGATTGGCACATCATTGACACTGCAAGTAATTAGTTATTCCATGTGTCTACAGTACGGAGGCTGGGATTTCTCCTGAAGTTGGTTTTTTCCTAAGGAAAACTCACCTCTTGAAGAAATGAAATGCATAATGAAGGGCTAAAAACTGCTATCAGAAAATCACTGATACTGCAATGCTAGGAAGAAAGAGAAGTAATCTCAAGGCCAGGAGTTAGCATAAGGGGGTGAAATTGGAGCCAGCCTCCTACCACCCAAATAACTGGAGTCCACTGAGAGAACAAAAACACACAGCTCCCAGGTAATGGGGGTCCCGAGAAGGTTTGACAAAAGTCATCATGTAGGCAATCTCCACCAATTTCCTTCAATACTACAATATCGTTTTAGCCCTGAGAGCTTATTTTGCTGTAACGTTCCTAAAATGGACCACACCTCATAATTTTCCAGGCAATACTGAGACCAAATGGTGTTGCAAAAGAACACCAGCCTTGTCTTTTTTAGTTCTTTAGAGAAACTAAATTTTTCCCAATTTCGCAAAATACAGTGCAAAGGCAAATCTTCAGGAATTAAAGAGGATTGACCTTTTGCGGGCATGGGGACTGGAAGTCCCTCCCTCCTTAAAGGAAAACTTAGGAATAAGACTCGAGATATAGACAAAAAAGTCAAAAGCCCAAAGAAGTAGATTAAGTTTTCCCAAATCCCTGGTGCTGAGAGAACTGAGAGGATTGGGCCTATGCTTCCAGATAGGGAGTTGGAAGGTGTGCCCATGTCCATGGTCTTGAACAGAACCACTGGACTGAGAGCCTGAGAGCGTCAGGCTGAGCTCAAGACAACCTCGTAGCTGTCTGACCTAATGGGACCTGAGAGGTCAGGCTCGAAAAGTGCCTGCATCACAGTCTTTGTCCCCTTACTTCCCTCCTTTCTGACTCATATTGTAACAGTTCTTGCCCCACTCCATCTGCAGACCTATCCAGTTCTTCCTCTCCATTCAGGCCAGGCCCCCCCTACACGACTGGCCCTAGCCTGCGCTTGCTTCTCCATTTCTGGCCCCTACATGTTCTTGACATGTGTGCCAGCTCCCTCCCTCCCATTCCCCCCACCGCATTCCTCTCTCCCTCCCTCCTTCCTTTCCCCAAGTCTACGAGCAAATTCACATTAGATAAAAATGTCTTTACATCTAGATCTGCAGAAACGTTCACTTGAATAAAGCAAGAACTATCAGTACTTTAAAAGTACTGATTAATTTAAAAGTTAGGCATAAAATAAAGCCCAAACAATCCTTCCTCACTTCAACAGACCAAGAAATTCAGCTGGTAGCCAGCCTTCTGGCGATGAATCTTTTCTACTCGGCTAGAGTGGTCCTTAAAAAAGCAGATTCATAGACTTTCAATGGTCCATACTTGGAGTTTTTCCAGTTTGGTGAGACAAAGCTTAGAAGAACCTTGGAGAACCCAGGGCCACCTCCATCCTATGGTTAAGCATTGCTTCAACAGAGCTCAGCTGCTCACTTTTCTGTTCTGTCTGGTGTATTTTGCCCTCCCCTCTCCCACCCCACATACTTGTTCCCTATCTCCCTAACTTACCCCAAATCTAACTCCCCTTATTTTTTTCTTTGTCTGTCTCTTCCCCTTTTTTATTTCCTATGAAGTATAGATGGGAGACAGTGAGGCATAATATATTAAAAACACAAACAAACAAACAGACTTCAGAGCCAGAAAGACCTGGGTTTATGCCTTGTCCCTCATACATTCTCATTGTGCAACCCTGAGTCCCTTAATCTCTTGGTGCTCCAGGCAAGGTGCCAATTGTATCAGTAGAGGAAATTTCTTCATCTGAGAGTTCCCTGTAATGAAATCATAAGTCCAGTACCTATACAGTAGGAAATCATGTTGGTTTGTATGAGTGGTCATACAGCCCTGCACAGTATCTTCTTACTGAAAAGCGTAGTGGAAAGTTCATTAGGCTTAGAATTAGGAAGTCCAGGTTTTAGTCCTGATTGTATCACTTACTAGCTACGTGGCCCTGAGCAAACACTTAAACTCTCTGGGCCTCAGTTTCATTATTTGTAAAATGAATAGTTTGTATCTCTAAGGTTCTTTCACACTCTGAAATTCTTGGTCTTAGAGCAAATGTATTATTATTAACTTGCTACTGGGAAAAAAAAAATCTCCCCCCAAAAATAAGCATCTCCGACTGCAGTATGTCTATATGGCAGTTATATGAGTCAGTGGCACGGTTAACACAACCTTTTAGACAGTGGTGTCAAATCCAATAGAAACAGATCCCTGCAAACTACATATTAACTTAGAAAACCATAAATTAACATTATCTATGTAATATAACATAAATAATACAGTATTTTTTATTTATCTTGTTCAATATTTCCTGATTGTGTTTTAATCTGATTCAGGGACTATTGGAGTTTTGTAGCTGATTCAATTTTATACCTCTTTTGGGGAGAATAGAGAGCTGGCCTTGGAGTCAGAAAGACCTGAGTTCAAGTCCTGACTCTGACACATATACTAGCTATGTGATCCTGGGCCAATCCTTAAGCTATCACTCTCTAAGACTTTAAGCTGCAAAACAGTTACTGCTCTTTGAATTGGTTAAGGGAAGTTTCTCACCTGGAGTTCTCAAAATCAATGGAATCACCAATCTAGCCAGGAAAAATAAAAAGGTACAGCAAATAAGAGAGAACAGGCAGGGGAAAATTTTAAATGCATGTTAGGTCTACTTTTAGCCTTGTGTTTATATCTGCTTGCTACTTACTATTTAAAATGGTTTTCAAAAAATGTTTTTTTTAAAATGGTTTTTTAAAAAGCTTTTTAAAGCTACATAAGACCAAGGATTTATTTTCTAATATGTTGTTCATTTGCTTCAGTTGTGTCTGACTCTTCATGACTCCATTTGTGGTTTTCTTGGCAGAGATACTGGAGTGGTTTGCCACTTTCTTCTCCAGCTGATTTTACAGATAAGAAAACTGAGGCAAACAGGGTTAAGTGACTTGTCCAGGGTCACACAGCTAGTAAGTTTATGAGACCAGATTTGAATCAGGTAAAAGAGTCTTCCTGACTCCAGGCCCAGTGCCCTATCCACTTCACCATGCAGCTTCCCAATTATGTTACATACTGCAAAGCAAATGGTTAATATTTTTTACAGCACTGGATATGGAATCAGGAAGTGCCTCAGACACTTATTAGTAGTGTGATCTTGGGCAAGATCTTGGGCAATCATTGTATGCCTCAGTTTCTTCATCTGTAGAAGGGGGATAATAAAAGGCCCTAACTCTAGAGTTGTTTTGAGGACCAAATGAGATAATTGTAAAATGCTTTATGGACCTCAAAAGGGCTATACAAATGCGAGTTTTATTATTAATAACTAACTATAACAGTCTCTGCTTATTACAGAATTAAGTTAAAATCTCTCTC